GAAAAATAAGCACAAGTTTTATCGGACTTATTCACATTCTGGCCGGCTGAAGGAAGGCTCATTCGCGCTTAACCAGATAGATATTATATCGTCGTCTCTCTTACTCGAGCCTCTCTTTCTCTTCTTTAATTCTAAATCCTACTTTCTTCCTATCTCATCTTCAAATCCAAATCCAAGTCCCCTCAAACTCAACAGCTTCAAACCAAAACCCAAACCCCAACCATACAAGTCCAAATCTATCTTCAATACCCATACCATCCTATCCTATTCAATAATACTTCCCTTCCCAACCCCCTGTCCCCAGTCTATTCAGAACCCATAAACAATCAAATCAGAACTCAAATCTGCCTCTCCCTCTCCCTCCCCCTTCTTCCCTCTCTAATATCAAATACCAAACATCAAACCAACAAATCAATCAAGCAATATAGATCATAAGCGAGTACATACAAACCTCCTCTTGCTTCATTTTACTTTACTTCCTCATTTTGAGTCGTCCCCAATTCACCAATTCCATATTGTTTATTCAGAAAATATAATGAGGGGCTTCCCAAACTTGAGGAGGAAAATTCCTGTATTCCAAACTGGTGTTGTAGGTTGCAAGTAGTAAGTCTATATTAGAGACCTACTCGTCATAATATAGACTCCTCTTATATCTAAAAATACGCACGCATCATGGAATAAATCCGCATACATCGAAGCAAAAGCCTTGGAGATTCTTTTCATTCAGATTCAGTATTCATAAACACTTCCTTCCTTTTCCTCATAATACCAGATTCCAGTAAATACTAGTGCCTCTACTCTCCTCATACACTTCATACATACAATTCATGAACACCATTCAGCCAGATGAGGTAGAGCCGCCCAACCATCGTATCCCATTCTCCCATACTAGCCATGCATCATTAATACCCCATCCTATCCTAACATAAACACATTCCTCATCGAGCCCATGTCTCCAAGCTAGGAATGAAATCCCATATAAACCACACAAAAGCAAATCCAAAGCCCAGTCTAAACTCCAGTCCAAATGCATTACCCATGTATACAATCGTATCGAGTAAATTTTTTAACCGTATCAAAGTAAAAAAAATCATAAACGAGTAGGCTCCTGGATATCTGAAACGAAACCTTCCAAAAAGGTCTCATCATATCAATCCCAACAAGTACATTCTCGTTATGGTATTCATCATGCACGCTGAAATCAACATCCTTGCCAAACAAATCCGAAAAAATTATCAATCAACTTCTTTGATATCGATATATATGTCGTTTCTCGCCATTCATGATGGTTCTAAAAGGTATCAACCGAATGTCTCGGATAAGACTCTTATACTCAATATCATGACCAGTAAACCAATCGTTACTATAATGAGTAGAGCAAAGGAAAACCATCCTAGTACCATGGCTGTGCTACCAACACCACTTCGCACGCTACCATTCCCCAGATCTTGGGCTATGATAGAGGCGGCTACCGATGCTGTATGTTGCCAGAGGACTGAGACGAGGACGAATATTGAAGCGATGAAGATGATAGCTAGGGCGATTTGAGAGACGGGTCGAGAGGGAAAAGGTTTGACTTCTCGTTCGCTTCCGTGGGCATCTTCCTCTTCGTGCCATCCGGGGAATGTCGCTAGAAGTAATAGACAGATGAATGCGAAGATGATTGCAATGATACTATGAAAATATTAGTTACTGTTCTTGATACCGGTCAAGAAGAAGACACCTTACATTAGGTATGGGAAAACAATCATGTCCTTGAATTGACTTGCAAGCCAAATTAAATTCAAAGGATCCTGATCTACGCTCACTTCATTCGCTAATGCGGTTGCATTGTTACTGCATAACCATGCACCTCCATCTGGGCTGATACAGATACCAAAGTATCCAACTCTTGCTGCCAATTTCGCTTGCCCAACAATATTAGATATCGCTGTGTGTACGTTGTAGTCGGTTTGAGCGGTCGATGGTACTGGAGTATATGATTGATAGTAGAGGGAAATAAGGAAAATATCGGGTATCATAGGTGATGAAGATGAACATCCTGCCAATAAAAGAGCTGAAAGAATGTTAGCTGAATATCTCTCAATGGAATGTTGAGGATCGCGTACAAAGTAATATTATGGTAATCGCAATTAATATCATCAACACATGATGATATCCTAAGAATGGCACCGCTCCTATGAATTAAGTTAGCACACTGTCAATTCATCCAAAGCACAGTCCGCATAACTTACTCAAGAAACCCCCAAACCCTCTGTCCGCCATCTTAAACTATGTTATGTCTTGAAACGAGTGACCGAATGCGATAGTAGAGTCTGCCACTCCCGTCCCCCGTTTATTCGGAGCAACTGTCGGAGTCGCAGCCGTGGAATGTTTTCAATGTGTTGAAGAAGTTTCAGGGACTGAGAATGTTGGCTATTTTCAGGAATGTATGGTCAATCAATTGGATATAGTGTAAGTCGTAAGGTTCGTGAAATCGTTGTAAGAGGAATGTGGATATAAATTCGTCGCACTGCTTATCATTAAGATAAAGATTGTCAGATATCTCAACACAAACACACACACACACACAAAAAATATGAGGGGAGAAAGATAAAATGGGTAGCAGTTTTCTTTGAATTCTCCCGGGAATGGAGAAAGAGAGGAAAGCAGAATTGGGTCCAGATTTCCTGCGCAGTAAGATGGTTCTGTCAAAAATTGTGTGGCAGGAGAGCTAAACTTCAAGCAAAAAGAAGATGGCGCAGTGAATCCATTCGGGTGCTTGGAATTTGTTTACATTTATCAATTCTCGGTTAGTCCACTGAGCAACGGGGAACCAAGGAAACAGGTGTCGCTTGAGCATAAACCAATGATAATGGACCATTTTGCTTTGTCATCAGGGACCCTTGAAATTCAGTCCCATCTTAATTCAGGAACAGATCAATCGGTGCATTGTTTTGGTGGGTTGGCAGTGGATTAGTGGTTGGAGTGAATTCTCGATATAGATTTTGGCGATAAAAGAAAAGGAAAAAAAGCTTGTTTTGTTGTTTGTATCTCTCAGACCGTGTTTTGAGTGAAGTTTTGGTGGGAGAATCAACAACGGATTGACACGTTTCTTTCGTCATCCCACCTTATTTTCCAAAGCAGCTGTTTTCCTGCACCTAATCATGCAGGTCAAGATGCAGCAACTTTAAATTCCCACTTGGTTTAATGTTTTGTATGTACAAAATCATTGTTCCTCGATCTCGCATTCTCGACTAGGAGACGGGATCCCCAAGGGTATTTATGCTTTGTCGTTCCTCCTACCCCGCACTCTTCAGTCTGATCGTGGCTTTTCAACTGCCTCTTCTTATGAGGGGCTGGCATGAAATATATACATGCCATTGTTAAATTAGTAATCACATTTGAAGAGCTCACCGTCTATCCCCCATGCTAGATCGTCTGCACGTTGTGTTGTGCAAGGTGCTTCGGTAATTTACATTCAGGTACCGTATGGATACACCGAGTGATCAGCCAATTCGTATGTTTCATCTCTCTCGCTTTCGACTTTTACGTACTTCATATCCATACATTTCTTGCTTTTGATTTTTTCTTGCACGGAGTATGTTGGATTTCGAGGCTTAGTGTTGACCGTCCTGGCAATGTTCAGACAAAGAAAGTTGGTTATCTCGCCAGCGATAATGAAATATAAAGTAGGCTTAGCCTGCGTAATAAGTACTGATGAATGGATTGAGTCTGTCGCATTTCAGGTTGAGCTTTGGGTGCGAGTCGAACAAAGCCATAGGTAGGTCACGAGTGAAATTAACCACAATGTCTGCTTCATTCTCTGTGCTCTTGGCAACTGCACGTGATTCACTGTCGACTTGACTTTTCGAGTCAACGGTGATAAATTCTTCCACAGAGCGGAAAATGCATAAGAGGCAGTGGATGGTCGCAAATATCGCATGACCACAAAATGTCATTTCGCCCGTGGTTGTGGTCGTGGATGAGTTTGGCGGAGCCCAGAGCCAGTTTGCGGGAGTTGAGTACAATGATTGATATGCTTCAAACTACCTTTTTTCCTACTCGGGCTGTACCCGTAAAACTCTCTCATAATTCTTTGATCGTCCCAGGTATTGTATCTATGTTATCATAACTTGACATTTAATAGCCAGTGTTGTCATTTCAAGCCGGGAAAAGCGACAGGTGGTAATTTTTGCACCGTTTATTAGGCAAGAGGAAACGGATTGTAACCATCAATGATGGCTTAATTTTACGAGATACCATATCAATGCATTTCAGTTCGAGCGGCTCGCCATCAGTCTATTGTTTGGGGCGGCGTCACCTCCCACATTTTGGACCATTGCGCATGTTTTCTCATAAAAGAGGACAGTCGGTATTCGAACTCTGTTATTACCAGAAATCCACCAGTAAATGGAAATGAGTCCAGATTTAAGATAAAGAACATATCGCAAAGAAAGAAACCCCAATAGCTCTTCATTCACCACCTCAAGTCACATGTTAATCTGACCACGAGGCTCAAATTCACTTTGACCTCCTCACTTGCTCTCCTTCATAGACGAGTCCAAGATAAAAATCTCCCGCATTCTTTATCCTTCTGAACCTCAAACCAAAAGTTGATGGCGATCCGAAACTCAATCATGGTCACTCATCAAACCACGTCCATCCTATCTCTAGACAAACCCTACAATTAAGTGTGGGAAGTCTTGTATCAAATGGATTTCTTCGACTTGTGATCTCATCATCGGAAATTTAGGTATATGTATAAACAAATGGCAGTAAGAAGTATTGAAGATATGATAATAAATATTGGACTCAAAAGCGAGAAGACTTGTGCTTTTGTCAAGTTATGTCCCAAGATGCGATGGTATTATCCGTTTTTGGGAATGAGAGAAGAGTTGATATCATTTATATCATAGACATTAATCAGACATAGTTGTCATCTCTTAATATATACTATCTAGATATTATAAGATTGTCAAAATCCATTGTCATTCCCTCTCCCTCTGTCTCTATGCACAAAAAATAACAACAACAAAAATGAAGACGCAACCTCGCCTTCCACCCAGAACATATAAATATTTTCCCAGTAGCTCAAGATAAACTATTGGGTTTATTGAGACCAGAAAGAGCATCAGATTGAATTGATTGATTCTCTAGCTAAGCAGTTAAGCTGCGAGTATATATTCAAAAAATGAAGGAATAAGGTTAGGTATTCAGCCTTCGGAATTAAAGTGCTTTGAAATCAAAATATTGAAAGCAAACAAACAGTATACCAAAAAGGAAAGAATGAATTAAAAGTCGAGTTTTGTTTGCTCCTTATATGCATCATGCAATATATATGCATATGCTGCCAAGATCCCAGGAGGTCAACATAAACCTAGTCTAGCAGGTGCCTGAATCTCGAGGCTACGGTCAGGTGGTTTTTAATATCTTGGTTAAAAGAGTCTAGTCGGCCGTTTTCTAAATTCGCGTTTTGATATTAGTGTCACGATTCACCATTAGGATTAGTGTCCTGGGATGAAAAGTAATCACGTGATAAGGAGCCCTAGGAGTCCTCAAAGCTCCTGGGGGCTCCCTTTATCGTTCATTATATAGTCAGAGTAGTTTCATAGTTTAGGAGCTTCGTGCTCAACTTAGTTATCAATTAGTTTACCTACATTCTACTTGATCTAGTAACGACTTCACTTCCAAGTGAATACCGGTGATAAAGCCTTAACCCATGACTACCAATCAGACGAAACCTTAGGCAGCCGCTGCCTTCAGTACAGTATCGCTACAAGGATGTTGAAATAATGAATTTATTGTTACGAGGTTTGCCGTCTAGATCACGTGGAAGTGCTCTAGGCTCTCGAGGTAGGTTTATAACTAGGCGTCAAGCAGGGACTTTAAGGTAATGACAATAATGATATGCAATTCGTAACTAATAGTAGAGTATACTAAATGATTGATCTTGAGCACGAAGCTCTATACTAAGGAAATCCATCTTGATTATATAGACCTTCGTGCCGTATGTCCCACCGTTCCCCTCGATTTAAATCGGTGGGACGAGTGGTACCACGTGACCCCTTGTTTAGTCATGTGATACGGTTTTTAGTCGTAACTGAATACCGTCGTAACATTAGATTATTTTTAAAGTTTTTTTTTTTTTCAAAAAGTTATTTTATTTATTAATTATATTGTCATGGGATCAACCCGTTTTAGTGTTACGTTGTAATATTATAAACTATTATCATGTGTTATAGGATCACATGGATAGTCTTGTAAGGGAGCGAAGGAGCGAGATTCGAATCTCGCTCCCTAGCTTCATCGTTTTAATGATTGGAATACAAAGGTCTATATAATCAAGATGGATTCTCTTTGTATAAAGCTTCGTACTCAAGATCAAGATCAATCATTTAGTATACTCTACTATTAATTACAAATTGTATAACGTAATTTATCACCGAGTGGGCCATATCACCGAGTGGGCCACTTTCACCTCAATTTACACTTTCAAGTACATATTATTCAACAACAATTAAATCAATTGATTGAAACTATTAGGAATCTAATAATCTAGGATCTATTATATTGATTTGACAAGTTCTTGAATTATGACCTGGCTTTCCACACTTACTACAGCATCTAGAAGATGCTTCCCCATTAGAATTCCCCCCATTTTGACGCTCGTCGCGTTGAATCTGAATATCAACCTCTTGCTGAGATAATATATCTATAGCTTCTTGTCCAGTAAGTACTCCTCCTTGCCGTAATTGAGTTTTTTTTGCACGTCGATATTTGCTTAATGCCTGTTGGTACGAGAAGGATACGGAAGACGTAGCACCCACGGATTGCGTAGGTCCTGTATGTCTAATTGTATTCTATCTAAAGAGCTAGCTACATATTGAAAGTAGTAAGTCTTATATAGACTTACTGAAAGAGCTAGTCTCTTTCGCATTCGCTTAGGGCTTTATTATAGTAGCTATATTACAGTGGTAATTGAATTGAAGTCATTCACTTCGTTCAAACAATGCCTCATTTGCCTTCCGAAGTGTATGGTTTTCTGCACTTAAAAGTGTATTTTCATATGCCAATCTTTCTGTGCCTTTAGCTAAAGCTAGTACAGTTTCGAATATAGGTGTAAAAGAGCTTGATTGATGACGAGATATTCGAGATTTTACTAAAGTTGATTGAGAAAGAGCTTCAATTGGATTGTGAAGGATTTGAGAGATCCAAAGATCCAAATCGAAAGGAGGAGGAGTAGGTGTATGAATTCGAATATCTAATTTTGAGAGTACAGCTTCGGGATTAAATGGTATTAATCCAGCTTCTCGAAACCCAGCTTTCATATTCTGAACTGTAATTGATTCTTGATATGCAGCTTTAAAAGCTATAAAGAATTCAACCTTGGAGATATGATTGATATGTGCCTTGATAAATCCATCAATTTGACAACCATACGAGCGTTTTAGGACACTAAAACACCCAACATCAAGTGGTTGAGTTAAATGACTTGAATGCGATGGTAATCTTATACATATAATATCATTTGCCTTGCAATATGATTGAAAAGATATTGATTCATGACTTTCGTATCCATCTAATACTAACATTCGATATTTGCCCTTTCTTCGATGAATCGTATGTTTATCGAAATGCTTTAACCATTCTAGTCCTGTCTCATTATTCGTTCATCCACTGGAAGTAGGTTTGATAGCCCAATCCGCAGGAAAATCGGTTTCGGTGTACCAATTGGAAAGATGGATTTGTCCTTGAACTACCAGAAATGGAGGTATAGTTTCACTTTCCCCATTACCACATATAATTGCTGTAGCCCATTCTCGATTGCCTAGTTGTACTGCTTTACCTTTACCTTATCGTTCAACATCAGTTACAACCATTGCAACACTTATAATCCCCATCATAAAGCCTGTTTCGTCGAAATTATAGAAATCGCAATCCAGAATACTATATTTTGCTCGCATATTCGATATCAATCGAAACCACTCCTCAAGAAGCTTAGAATCTTCACAAAGAGATCTTTGAAAGTCATAAGCACAACTAAAACACATCTTTAATTCTGTATAATGCTTTACGAATCGATGAGCCCAGAGCTTTCTAACTTTCTTCGCACTTCTTGATTCAAGAATATAATTCGCCATATCTTCTACACCCTTGATTTTAGGTGGAAATCCTCTTCGATCCATATCAAGTATATATTCAACAATCACTTTCTCTTCCAATTGTGTAATCTTATAGCAGTTCGCTCGAGTTTCTGTACATGGAGTTAAACCATCCATTCTGTGGCTGATCGTTGTGCGAGGTATATTATATAGTTGAGCAGCCTTCCGAATGCTTAGTTTTTTATCTTTTTGAAAAGCATCGATAGCTAAGAGTAAACGTGCTTCTTTATTTGTAGATTGCATAATAAATGGTTGATAAAACGCGTGTTGAATATGAAGAGTGTGAATTGAGGTGAAAGTGGCCCACTCGGTGATATGGCCCACTCGGTGATAAATTACGTTATCATTATTATCATTATTTAAGTCCCTGCTTGACATCTAGTTATAAACCACCTCGAGAATACATTACATATATCTCTAGGTATACACTTAAAAGTGAAGTCATTATTAAATCTAAACTGATTAATGAATAAATCAACACGAAGCTTCCAAACTATAATACATATATAGGTAACTCATATATATTTCTATATTATATAAATAACCTGGGTCGTTCTCGCTCCAAGCTGCGATCGCTTGTGCTCCGAGCGACCCATCACGTGATTCATCAGTGACAGATTATAATGTACTAAAGGGTCTACGAGATCACTTGATCTCTGAACCTAAGGTCACTTAATCATGTGTCAATATTGGTTCGTGACAATATGGTACAGTTTCATCTCACCTCATATCGCATAGATATCATCAGCGTGGTATATATTGGCTACCAGTTGTGTTCAGAACGACTTGGGGTACGCTATGCCACCGCTGTACTTTGTGCTAAGATGGGTGATCCGTCGATCATGAACTAGTGGGGCAATGAGATGACATAAATACCAGAAAATCAAACTGGCAATTTTCATGAGATTCTCCAATCAGGGGGATATGGATTGGATTGGTAACCTCAAGTACAATACACGAGCAATCATATCAAGCACAAAAAAAAATTCTTCAACCAGTGAAATTCTATATCTAATAACAATAACTCCAATACATGTAATTCCCAGATCCTTTTCGCCCCCAAATTAAACCCCACCCTTCCACCCCTCCAGTTTGCCCTCTAACTTATCCCTTAGATCTTTCCAATACCAGCGTTCTTAAGAACATTGGCTTTGGTACCCCCAACATCGGCAACAGGAGCAAGAGTCAATCCCTTTGCAGTGCTCAAAACATCGGTATTCGTGCCAGCAAAAGCTCCGGATGTGACAAGGCTATTAGCCTGGCAGTTACGACCAAGGATGGAAGCACACCCTGTAACGCCACCGCTTGAAGACCAAAGAGGGTTGCTGGGAATGTCGAAGATGACAGGTGTTTTCGCATTCTCGAAAACGTTGCCCTCAGCAAGTACTTTTGCTCCTTCGCCGATTTGGAATGCGTTTCCTGCGACATCTGACCAGTAATTATTGGCGGCTTGCATGAAGACACTGGGCTTGACTGATGAGTGCAGACCTCCAACCTTGGGTCCACGACCACTTGTGTTGTGGATATAGTTGCCTTTGAAAGTGACAGAGTCTTGGGATCCAGTGAAGTACAGTGTCCAATAATGGTGATTGTTGCACATAGCAGAATTAGTAGTGGTACCGTCGAACTCGGAGTTGGAAACAGTGACACGGTTGGAAGCACCTGGACCCATGGTAATGAATTGACGACCAGCATGGGAGATCTTGACATGATCGATCCATAAAAGATCGGTGCCATCAACGGAGATAGCATCTCCACCCCAGATATACTTGGGGTTCAAGTCGACGAACTCAACGTTCTGGATAATAATATTCTTAGCACCTGCAATAAAAAAACCTCTACCCTTAATCTTTCCAAGAGATCCAACTCCAATAATGGATTTGTTAGAACCGAGCTTGATAGCATTTGGAGGAATAGCGGCGACATCATAAGTGACAGTTGGCTTGGGGAGACTTTGGTCGGCATTTGCGGACTGTTGACACCAGCCAAATATATTGAGTGAATCCTGTCCGGCACCATTGGTGCATGTGTTTGAACGGGGTTTGCAGCCTGGCTCGGTTTTTGTGCCCATAGTTCCTGCGAAATCCCAGGTCTTGTCAAGGACGATGGTACGGGCAACACCATCCGAGAGCCAGGTAACAAGCTCGCCAATGTTTGCTGGGCGTGCGGCAGCGGCAGTTCCACCTCCAGTGGCTGCAGCAGCAAAACCTTCAGCTTTGCCAACGACTCCTGCGGCATCAACTGCCATAGCAGAGAACAAGAGGATAGCGAGGGTCTTGATTGAAATCATGATGATTGTTTGAAATCGAGTTATTGATTGAGTATTGGAGAGGGAAGTTTGATGATTGGTTTGCTTCAAGCAGACTCTAAGTTGTGTGGTGAAGATGAGTTGTTGATGAGTTGATTGTTGATTAGTTGATTGTTGATGAGTTGATTGTTGATGAGTTGATTGTTGATGAGTTGATTGTTGATGAGTTGATTGTTGATGAGTTGATTGTTGATGAGTTGATTGTTGATGATATTTGAAAACTTCGAGAGATGAAGCGTTGTTATATACCCGTTGACCCAAAGAATCATGCTATCCAGAATTCCATCAAGAGTCGAACATTGTCCCCCTCAGTACCTCCTCTCTGTGAAGCAATATCTCGAAACACAAGCCCAAAGGCTTTTCGAAGGCCAAACACTTAGCAAATAATCACTCTGTCCACCGCAAACACCATACTCTTCGACTTTTTCAAACTCTTCGATGAATAAGAAAGTTTTCCCCATACAACTCAATTCGCTGTTTGTAACTCCAATGCATATTCCCAATGCACAAACCTCACCTTACGAGGGGGAGTAAGCTTAACAACGCATTGCTGTCCAGATACCTTAGCGACGAACTCTAAGAAAGCACGGAATACTTTCCAGGAGTACTTTTCGTTGATTTTGATCTATCTGGAAGGAAAAGTGAATACAAAGTTAGTTAAGTTTAACTAAAAATGCTTTTTATATGGTTTCAAGTTGTACGTCAGTTTTACTTCAATCTATAAAGTTTCATATACTTCTTAGAAGTATTTTTGTTAATGATTTTAAACTTAAATTGAAGGTGAATGGATATTAAAGGATATAGCTTCATTTTTGCCGAATTCAGAATATTTGTACTTTCTATACATACTGTACTTCAAATTTTGAAAATCAAGTTTTTGGACAAATGTCTAGTAAATCTGTGTATGTGGTGTTCTTCCCATATAAATTTAGGGTTCCTCCCAGGAAATAATTACATATCTGTACAGGAAGTATTTGGTGCTTATTTAGGGGGAACTGTTTGTATAATCATGGGGGAGCATATTCAAAATTCTATGTTCATTTCATTTGACCTCCCGAATCTTCAATGATCAAGTGAGATCCTCTAACATTCTTGTGATAAAAGGTTCGTTCTACTGTCTTCATTTGTTTGACTATTATTACCTAGTACCTTTGGACACAATAAGCAATAATCTAGAACACATCTAGGCAGTACTTTCTACTTTGGAGGCTTTTTGGGGGTAATTAAATCTAAGGTTAGCTAACTACAAGTGTCTTGGGAATAGTGGCATGCCAAGATTGATGCTCCTTAACTCTAATTGCTTTTGTGCTTGGGGCTATGTATAAGGCTCAGAGAGAAGAGCCAACTCTAAGGCAGAGCCAAAACCAAAACTTTAAGTATACTGGTCACTAGAGTTCTGATACATAGAGCAGATACAAATAAACTCTATCATACCATTCATTATCAATGCCCCGCAGAATTCCCAGCAGAGGAAAGAGGTTGGGACCTTCGAGCTTTGAAGGGTGCTACGCTACTGTAACGATCCAGTTCATCGGGTTGGTATATTGTGCGCTAAGGGTAACCTTATATCATTGGGTGTTCGCTTGAAAGTGAAGTCGTTACTAAATCAAGTAGGATAGACGTAAACTAACTGATAACTAAGTTGAGCACGAAGCTCGGGAATGAGAAAACTATCCTGAATATATACTAGGTCCTTTCTCAAACACAAGAATAACTAGTCTATCTAAGCTATCCTCTAGACTGACTGGATGTGCCCCGCTGGGTATAGGCCGGCACGTCAGTCCGTGCATTCACTGATGGTGTCTATCCGATCTATCCGTCACGATGATATCCCTCACAAGGATTCTACTAAAGGTGTTTAGCTTGTCAAGAAACTAGCTATCTCTTAACAGCCTTTCCTATTATGATTTTAGTGTGGCTTTTGAATGATCAGATAGCTTCGCTTAAGTCTAGTGGAAATTCTCGATTCTATTCACACCCACGCTAGAAATTCTCGCAGAAGTGGACGTAAGAAATGGAGTTGATAACGAAGCAATTCTATTTCTTCCAGAAATGAAGCTAGCTATCTCCAAAAGGGGAAAGTCTATGATTATCCTAGTCATTTCTATAAAGACAGACTCTTTTCAGCTTGTCGAGAGATAACTAGTTTCTTGACAAGCTAAACACCTCTACTATGTTTACGAAATCATTGATCTAAGGTCCCTTAGTCACCCGATTCCTAGATTAGTGACAAAGCGATTAACCTTATCTACGCGAATTTGCGTGTAACTTTCATGATTTGAGCGCCGACGACGGTATCACCACGACTACTAGTCGAACTCCTCTCAAGGGTGACTAGAATGAATTCGGACGATAATTCCATATACCAGAGTGTAAAAAGGATCGTATTTCGAAGAAAAGATTTCCTTCAAAATTTGTATTAGTTAGGAATTATCCGTACAGAATAATTACCCCTCACTTTGTAGAGGGGGAAGTACCACAAATAAGGTCTTGAACAGTCGTAATGTTTAAAACATTCAAAACTCCCGAGGAAACAGCCAATCTCTTATTTACTGACGCTCGATCGTAAATTTATCTATCATTTTTGAGATTGTGGCTGGTTCAAATCATAGAACGAGATTTCAGCGGGTAATGACCTCGGGAGATATTAGTGTGAATAGCTTCAAATTTGATGGATAAGGTTTGATCCCGTGTGTTCGGAATTCGGAATTCAACCTCCAGTTTCCTTTTCTCCCTTCTCCTACAAAAGTTTTTTTATCATCAATTTACAAAGATGTGTTGTGATTATTTTTGTTTTCTCAACTTTCATTTCACTTAACTCATTTTTGATAAAATCAAAAGAATTTACAGTACGTTACGACATTGGTCCTTGGAGGTGAGCAGAACGCGGCGAATCATTTTTCCGGCACCGAGGGGCAGCTCGTATGCGAGATTCCAAATAGTACTGGCACAGGCCATCGAATTTACTGAATTAGTCTAGTTTTTGCATTGACCTTCTTCCAGAGTTTTACAGTCTTTGATTGGGTTATATAAGCGAACTCTTCCAAAGAATCTAGTTGGCCAACTTCTAAATAGATTGTAAATAGTGTATTACATATATCACGGTGGTGAATAGGTCTGTAGGTAATATAATGATATTCTACAAAGGAGGAAAGAAGATACTAAAAGAAGTGTAGATTATATAGGATAAGGAAGCCGTACGCGCTTATGTGGACTAACTAGATGTTACGAGGTTTGCCGTCTAGATCACGTGGAAGTGCTCTAGGCTCTCGAGGTGGTTTATAACTAGACATCAAACAGGGACTTAAGTAATGACAATAATGATATATAATTCGTAACTAATAGTAGAGTATACTAAATGATTGATCTTGATCTTGAACACAAAGCTCTATACAAAGGGAATCCATCTTGATTATATAGACCTTCGTATTCCAATCATTGAAGCGATGGAGCTGGGGAGCGAGATTCGAATCTCGCTCCCTCGCTCCCTCACAAGACTATCCATATGATCCTATAACACATGATAATAGTTTATAATGTTACAACGTAACAAATTGCTGGTCTATAAACACCCTTTTGGTGTAAAAGGTGGCCGGAATTAGGGGGTGGTTGGAAAGTAGGGTACTAGACTTATCCGCCCAATACAATCCTCAATGATCCGAACATATCTTGAATACTTCATCCCTCCCTATCCTTCTATCTCTAGATAGGTATTCAACTTAAGCCTTAGTATCCTCATCCAAAAATCTAATTCCCATAAAACAATAATGATAGAAACATAACTAAAAAACCAAAAAAAGGAATATAACACTTACCCTCACATCGACAACAGCAAAATCAACGACAACATGTACAATACCTAATCCTCAACTTCTTATTCTCGCACCACATCCACATCTACACTCCTAATCTCCCAACTCCAACATGTCTTCCATGACATCTTCCTTGGAACTTTATCCCATCATATTACAAGGAACCTAGAATAACCCAACGATCCTCCAGAGCCTCCATAACCATTAACCATCAAGCCCCAATCAACTCCTCCCCACTACAAAACTTTCTTCTCCAATGCACCCTAATTTATCTATCTTCACCCCAGAAATTCCATCCAGATTAAACTCCCCTGCGCCGCAAAAAAAACCCACCACCACTTCTTTTTCGGATTTCAAGCCGGATCAACTTACTGTGCTAATGTGCCTTGAGAATTATTCAAATTTTTCTCTCGGCTACCTCAAATGCAGAAAGTAAACTAAAGATGTATATTAAGAGGTTTTTAATCTAGGTTCAATCGTGCTACTTCATTACAGAAACATCTCTTCAGCCCCAGCTCCCATCCATAAACTCATTCATCTCAAAACACAACACCAAGCAGAAAGAGCAAGAAAAAGCACAAATTCATCCGTAAGGCCTCTCCATCTACCAAACTCCTTCAGACTTCCCAGGCTGAGCTATTTGTTCTCTGGGATAGCCCTGAATACAGCATTCTTGCCTTCCTCAGGAGGAGAATCGTGAGTATGTTCACCACCAAAACATGGCAACCTATACTTCTCTTCCCACTGTTTCCTTAACACTTCGTATAGGAAGATGTATTGTTCGACAGCTTGAACCATAGTCTTTCTTTGTTGACGTAGTTGATCGACAGTCTCATAAATGGCGTCGTTACCCTTCTCTTCCGATTGATCCCACCCTTCCCAAGCTCCACCCTGAAGTTCTCCCATCAAAAACTCCAAAGCAACAAAAGTACCAGTTCTCCCAACACCAGCACTACAATGAACAACTCTAGGATTTTCTTCTTCCTGATTCTTTGCTCGAGAAAGATCCATCAATGTCAAAACACTTTTGACATTTTGGTTGTTCAAGGAGCCCATATCTGGCCAGAGAGGATAGAAGAAATGCCAGATAATCTTCTCCTCGTCTTCACCTTCGACAGACATAGCTAATTTACGAACCTCAATACCAGTACCCTCAATATTCTCTTCTCTCTTCACGAATCGAACCTGAGCTTTGAAGGTTTCTCCAAGAGTTCCCGCTTCGTTGACCATCAAAGGTGGGTCATCTTCGCTCATAGGATAGTATTGATAACATTTTTCCATCATCTCTTCAGGTTTTGCTGGATTAGGTCCAACGAGAGGACTGAGCATAATAATGACACCAGGTGCTGCATTGTCGGGCACTGTGATGGAGTGCCACATCATATGCCAGGTGTGATCCACAGTTTGAGATTTCGGGCCTTGCATACAGATATACTTATCTTGGATACCTTTCTTCATCGTACTTTGCTTTTCAGCAGTAGACGTTAAAGTGACAGGGGATGCATTGATGTAATCGTTGTAACCTTCAGGAACAATGAGCCTAATACGGTTAGCAGCCCATGGATGGACGTTGGCATAACGATCAAGTTCACGATCCGGTTCCTCTCTCGCCCATTTCGGATCATCTTTATTCGCTAGACGTTCCTCCTCCATCTTAGTCAGTGTAGCATATTTTGCTTTCATTTCTGCCATTGGGTTAGTGCCTGTTCGCTGAATAAAGTGAGTGAGCTGCATACCATCGTGTGAGATCTTCAGAAAAGAGGGCATTGCTGTCTTGGAATCGACTGCAGCAGCAGCACCTGCTTCTGCTATCTGCACGGCACGTTCATCCTCGTCATCTGCTGCCTTGCTGGAAGAGCATCCATCTGCCTGGGGCATGGAAGCACCCTCATGTTGACCAATGAGACACTCCTCAGATACATCAATGGCTGAGTCTCGCTTTGATGAACATGGATGTGTCATCTTGTGAAGAAATTTGCGACCTGTGTTCTCTTTTGGATGCGAAGAAGAAATGGATGTGGAGGTACTTGAGGTGGTTGAAGGTGTAGAACAGAAGGAACGCAAACAGTGGTGGAATGCAATAGTGGCACCAATTGGAGTACGACGAGGCATGCAAAAAGGGACGAATAATGATATGACAATGACAATAGCTTAAGAAGTAGTGAAATATGTTGGGGATGGAGAAGGATAGACTGTTATGCCTTGGCCACGACAATGAGGTAGAAAGCTGAACTGAGAAGTTTTTCCGGCGAGAAACAGAGGCCCAAGTTGTGATCAAGAGAATGAAGAGAACGAGAGATACAGGAATGTGGCAGTTCAGCGAGGTAAAGAATAGTAAGACTTTAGGAAAGACAGAAATACCAAAATCTTTGATAAGTTGATGTGAATGTGTATGCAAAGAAAAGGTGAGAGAAAGAAGATGAAAAGGAGAAGTAGGAACTTACAAAACAATCCAACTCACCAACATAGAGCAGATTCACCATATCAAGTAGGAATAGGAAGGGACTAAGAGTAAACCTAACATGTTATGGATATGAGGAAAGAGCAATCCTGGCTGGCCTGTGGACCATCAGATGTTTGAGCCTGAGCAAGTGAAATGAGGCTAGTGGGCAAGCACGTGCAAATTCAAGGTGTGATTACTAAGGTTACTTATAATGACCAATCAAGCGATGAATTTATAAGCGAGGCCCAAATCATCTTTAGTGAAGGATTTTCGCCTTCAGCCCATCAACAATTGTATTTGAACATATTTTATCAAAATATCTCACCTGGTGTGAGATTGATCATGATATTTCCAGCTTGATCAATATGCCATTATGGTTAGCAGCTTTTGAGGTAAAGATGCTCTATACAGCATAACGTCTTCCCGTTTTACTGACGATTAATTCAGGCATGGGCAGTCGCACGAGTTCGTATCCCATTATATCGACGTGAAATTCCTATTGCTTACATATTTCCAGCTCCTAAGAAGTCCTACCTTTCATAGTGCAGTTCGCAACATCCACAAGAGAGTCCACGAAGCTCGTCATGGCAAGGACCCCTCCGAAATGGGTGGTACCAATATCGATGACCCGGAGAAATCAAGTCGATTTTTTAAATACTTCAAGGACGAACTCAAAGAACAATTCTGGGGCAGACCACCACCTCGAAAATAATTGCTATCCTGTTGCCTGTGGAATAATGCCATTTGCATGGTGAATAATATGATAACACGAGTGGGGTCAACGGTCTAGGACGAACGGCGTATATGGAGATTATATGGCGTTTGGCAAAGAATACCAGTCCATGGTTTTGGTATTGAGTACACAATATGACAATTTGATTCTCTCTCCTTTATCTTCAATCTCCTTATCCCGTGCGACACATGCGACAAACTCATGCCGACATTCCACCGGACATTAAATTGGGCTCTGAGACTGATTCTTCGTGTCACTTGGCTCTCATTCCGTCCGAAGAGCAGAATTGCCTACACTTTTCAATTCGCTCCTATGCCTTCAATGCATTCGATTGGTTTTGTGTGCGCACATTTGTCTTCTGACACCTTTGGTTTTTTCTTCTCGAACTCGCTTTCGAGCTTCTTCACGGCTCCTTCGAGACATATTCAAGTATCAATCTTGATATAGGTGTATGAGAAGTGCTCATCTTATCAGCATGGATCACACACTCCTTAAGTTAAACGAGCGACTAGCTGTCGTCGTCTGAATGATTTGGAATGACACTCGTCATCAGATTTGGTATGTGAGAAGCAAGGATTCCGAATGTGGGCATCCTGCTTTCAATAAGCAAGATCATTCGATGCCGTTAAAGCTCTGACCGGGAATCTTACTCGTGCATTCTCAGACGATGCGTACTTTCCTTCAGCTCGGTGCCAAAAAAGGTAGGTCATTTCATATTATACCAAGCAACGGAGGGCTACAGGGGAATATAATACTTGCCATACGCAGGCTCACACCAATATTTTATGGTGTGTGATCTATTTAAGTGCAAGAAGATTGATTAAAGACCGATTACTCACCGTGGCTTTTATCCCGGCATCATCATGTGGGAGGTGGAAGCGATGGTCCATATATTTATGGTCTACATTTCTTTTTGATAAGAGCTTGCTGTTTTGGATATCCATAATTCATTACTGGACGAAGCGACTTGAAGGGTGGTGAAATTTGCAGGGCCAACTGGCGATTGATATCTAAAGCACTGAACGATATCCTTGCTGAAAAATGGTTGATGAATGTGTTCTCGAAGTGCCCAATCTAAGCTACTACATGCTTTTTGGTCTCAACCTAGCTAGATTAGAATTTGTAATTTAAACTGCATCATGTTTGCCCATCATACCTTGAATTCCCAATGATAACAATGCAATTGGCGTTTGACCCCACCATTTCTTTAGTGACCCAAGAGCCACGCCTCGTCGCATCACAATCTAAATGCAATGCCAATACATAGACTCTCACAATAACGAACCACCAAACAATCAGAATCTTCTATACCCTCAAATCAACAAGTCTGACATCTCTCTACCATAATTCCTAGCTCTTAAAACCTAAACCCAACTCCATACACTCTTTCCTTTCATATCCCTTATTCTTATCTCCCAACTTCACACACCCTATTATTCACTTACTCATTTACTCTATTACTTCTACCATGCTTAAAGAGAATTCCATATCTAGTATCTAGTATCTATTTCTTTGTCTTCAGTACATACAATATTCATATAATATATGAATTTTGGGTGGGTTGGAAGGAGAATAATGGTATGGGCTTTTGCGGATGGATCGGATTGAAGGAAGGGGTATGAAGAGACTTTGTATGTGTGTGTAGGTAGTTGTGCTTTTTAGGAGAGATAAGAAAGAGGATTGGTGGTTGGAATTTGGAATTTGGGGGGACGATTGTGATTCTAGAGGGGGGAGGGGGGAGGGATAGGGGATAGAGGATAAGTGACGATATGAGATGATGAAAGGGTAAAAGGAAAAGGAAAAGGAAAATGGAGTTAAAGAGGGACTTCGGTGTGAATACACGGAGGATTTTCCGGCCTGTTTAGAGATTCATTATTGCTTATTTTTCGTGTGGCCCTGTTGTTGGATTTGGGGTTTGGGTTTCAATGTAGTTAAGATCCTAGAATAATGGTTTTGAGATATAGTATGATTATTGACTAGAAAAACGGGATGTTGGACTAATTGTCTTAAGGGTGAGATTGATTATAGATGAGGTGAGGTTTAGGTTTAGATAGTGAGCTTGAGGTAGGTAGCGGGTGTTAGGTATAAGCTTTTTTGGAGGGTGAAGCGATGTGAGTTTTGTGTTGGGGAAGGGAATGTGTATGATTTTAATCTGTATGTTTGCTTGGTTGGGATTATGAGGGATTTGTGTGTACACTAGTTGTTGGGTGTGAGAGCTTTGGTTATTCATTTGGGTGGTGATGTAAAGGATAGCCGTTATTGTGAGCTAGCGATGCGGAATCTCAGCCCGGAGTGTTTCTATGGTGAGAGGGGATAGAAAGTATCTAATATAACCTAGAAAAAATAACTCATCAATTCGAAAAATGCAAAACTGAAAGCTCTGTCAAGGGGAACTAATCCGTTGAAGGCAAGAGCTGCCATAGCAAATCCATCCAAAGCCTTTTATTTTCCTCCAAGAACCTTAACTATCACCTAACACCAACTTCCTCAAAAGTATCTCCTGCTTAGTACATGGCATAATCCCCGCATTCCTATAAAAATTCCCCGGTCTCTTCACTCCCTCCGGAAACTTCATCTCGTACCCCTCCAACAAAGTCCCTACCACAAGTTTTATCACAACTCCTGCATACCATCTTCCTGGACATGTTTGTCTTCCATTTCCCCATGCTAGATTGCCAGGTTCGATGCTTGTGAATCCTTTGAGGGGGTTATAGGTAGTTTTTTCGGTTTGGGGAGGCGATTGATAGAATCGGGATGGGTTGAAGGTGGCTGGGGAGTCGTGGTTGGAGTAGTAGGTTGGGTCCCGAGACATGGATTCGGAAGCCATGGATATAAATGTTCCGATGGGGAGGTGGAGACCGGTGGAGAGGGTATGAGGTGTTAGGACTATGCGATCGAAGGATACTGGTGTTTTGTTAGTGAGGCTTTTGTTGGGGAATTGAGATATACGTACGAGCATTTGGTTGATTATATCGCATAGATTCTTTCATGAAACTATCTAATTTTCTCAGCTTATTTATGGTGGAAATTCGCCATGATCCTTCTTCTTTCAATGCATCCCTCATTTTGGCACGCAAGTCGAGTATGTATGATGGTCGTTCGCAGAGATAGTACAGAGTGTGGACTGCGAACATTGTAGATGTGTGCAGCTGTTAATAATTAGCTTGAGCTTGGAAGGTCATGATTCGAACAGAAAGGGGGCACAAACTGCTGCGGAATTCAGCACTAAAAGTTTCAAAACAATTTCTTTTGGATTGACAACTTCAGATGTTGAAACCAGGAATCCTAATAGATTATTTGCTTTATGCTCGGGTTTTTGCCTCTCTTGTATGGCGGATCCTAGAATCTCTAGAGCTTTTGAAAAAATGCCATCCATACGAGTTTTTGGAGCGAGGAACGATCTGAGAACAGGACGTAACAAACGAGGATATGGACGAAGTGCATTACCGGTTGCTAGTACTTCATCCAAATAAGCAGAAACGGTATCGAGCCAGGCTTTTTCACGGAAAAGTGGTAGGCCAACGAAGACTCGTGAGGATACGGCCAGAATCATCGAATATACATATGAGTATGTGGATATTAGTACGTATTCTGCAGGAACAGTAAGTAAGCTATAAAAATTTGCCTACGAGTGCGCGAAACTAACCTCGCGAAGAGCAATGAATCAAAGATTCGGACATGGCGAATGAAAGCTCTGCTGCCATATCTGGTACAAATCCAGCTGTGATATGCTCGTTAGCCTCGATCTTATATCTAGTAGTAGCAAAATATGATACTCACGTAAATTCTGTGTAAGTTGAACCCGACAAACATTAGAATGGTGACGACTCTTTAAAATAATATCAACACCACTATAACTTCCTAACCATCTTTCTACAAGAGCAGTTGACTGATTGAGTTTTGTTTCGGGTAACATACGTAGCTCTGCGAGAAATTTAGGGGGCAGGATTAGTCGTTCCATGTCTTCGGTTTGGACTATGAAGGGCTCATCTTTATACTATATTTCACCTGATATTAGTTTTTACTTCTGGAATCATTTGAGTAGTGAGATGGTATCTTACCTTTTGATAACCTTCATCTACGAGACGATGTCCGTTGATTACAAATTCTTTTTTCGCAGTGGTGCGGTTAAAGTCTAAAAGTCCTGAGGTTTTGCCAACTCTTGGGATGCCCGGAAACCGTGATCGACAAGGTGAGATGAATACAAGTAGGACGATTAGACTCATTGCAATGGAAAGATAAATAGCAAGAGACATGTTTCCAATATGCTGGGTTTCTGGACGTGAGGAATAGAGGGCTTCGAAAAGATTAACCACACTGGGAAGGGTATATTCGTGGGTGTTTGTGTGTGAGACTACCAATTCTACAGCATGCTGATGGCACGTTCTCCGTTATATTTGAGAGCTACTGAAGAGGTGGGTTTTTGTAATTCTTAAAGCATGATTGGACAGATCGGAAAGGATAACTTTTAATGTTATGTTCCATTCATTGAACTGAAAGAAACTTTAAAGCATTGAATGCATTGGTTAAGTACTCTTATTATTGTTAATCTGGCTCTGTTTTATATGAAAGCCCCTTCCCTAGTTGTCGGTGATTGAACTGGTCTACTCATCGACCGAGAATATTAACTTGTTTGATGTAAACCAAAAGCCAATGATATTCTTCGATAGTGAATGATGCAGGAATTCTCTGAGATCAAGGGCTCTGCACAACCAATTTTCATATGAACTTTCAAAGGGTTCTTTTACTCCATTAGTAGGTAGTATACTCAACAAGACGTTGAACCTGTCAATTTCGAGACAGGAATTCAAGGATCTGGTGCACGAATCCTAGACTAATGGGTTCTCAAGCATCCAAATGTTTGAAATGAAAGACGATTCACCTGAAATCATAGGGTACTGTGCTGCTGAAAAGTTGTGCTGATGCCCTGACTTGATGTTTCCATGAGCATCATAGCGAAAGATTGTTGACCCCCCGACATTTGTCTCATAAACTAGTTTAATCGCTGTAGAAACATTCAGCAAACAGAGAGTTCCATATAGGAGGAGAAATAGACCTCCAGGATCAACACAGTGATTTGTTATTCTTCTCTTAGCCCGTAGTTGAGACACTTGTGAGAGTATACAGGATCGCAGCAGTTTGACTCTGTTCATATGTAACTGTGGGAAGGTAGCCAAGACGTCAAGGGAGGCCATATGCTTCGCAAAGTGTCTCCGGGGCTTTTGTTCCTCCGATAGAATCTACCTCGGCACTGTATGACGTTAAAAGAAAGCGCGAGAGTATGTAATCATACTACTCATATTCACTATGCGAGCTCACCCATCAGGTGATAACTTATCCATTATGAAATTGGTGAGTAAACACCTCCCGAGGTGGCTCGTTGCCAAATGCACCTCAAAACCATCAGCGGCCATTAGAATATCAAAACTTTGTTCTGTGAATGCGCTAACCTCGATAGCAGGAGAACAGACAAACTCAAATGACGCCACATCAAGCTTAATAATTCGAATATGCAACATTCGGATATGTTTCCCTGATGAACTCTGTGACAGCCTCGACTTCATTTTTGAATCGTCTAGTAAGGACGAGAGGGTTTGGTCCATGAGCAGCCAGTATTTGTGCTAGACGTGCATCGACTTGCTTTGGTCCTACGGCAGCGATAAGTACTGTTTAAACTTAGCAGATGGCAGTTTGAAATGATACGTGAGAAGGTATATTCTCCTTTTGCTTGGTTCGTCCGTCAAGACTAGAGTAACTTCGCCTCCCTTTGTCATTCTCGCCAAATTCGGAATTTGAAGTCATGTTCTAAATTAAGAAAGAGGAGCATAAGATTCGAAAATCAACATGTAAAACTGCTAGGTTAAGCTCACTCAAATTATGTCAAGAGCCAGACAATCCCCACTCCTGTGAAAATCAATCACCATTAAGGTCTCCGACTATGATGGGACGAGTTACCACCTTTGAAAACTCTCAATTACCCGAGTAGAGGTCAACTTGAAAGTAGCCCTTCTTAGAGATCACTAATCCAAAATCCGCAATAAGATAGTGGTAATGTGAAACCAAAGATACAAAGGGTAATACCGGGAAATGTTTTTGGAGGATGGAATTCATGATGTACTACCTACCCACAATTCTCATTTTGAGGACGCCCACTAGACCCGATTAACTGCACTATTTTCAGGGAAAGGCCTCAAGAAGCCTCGCGAAGTGATACTACCGCGCCATTCCAATCAATGGCTTCACTCATGCTAGATGATGTTGCCATTGAGGGCTTGTTGAAGATTTTGCGGCAATGACAATGTCAATAGTATGAGAGATAAGGGTATGCTAATTCGTAAATTGTGGCCACTGCTTTTGATTTAGAAGAGTATTTTTAGAATGCCGGAAGCTCAAAGAATGGAGATTTGGGGCGCAGGGCTATCTCAAAGGTATGGATTGATCCGAAAAGGTCTTTAAAGGATTCATAAACTCTCGGTGGAAGTGGAAGCCTAGGACAAGAATATGATTAGATGTTGATTCGGTAAATGGGATAGCGCGCATGTCAAGGCTTGACAGGCAGTTACAACACTGCGAAATAAATATCAAGCGTACTTAGTGTTAGAAAACCCAGATGGTAGAAGATACTCAGCAACCTCTGAAAATATAGCTTATTAGTTAAATCTCTTGAATTCAGAAAGGCAAAGAAAAAAAGTATCTTGCTGAAAGAGCTATGAACATTAAAGAGAGTGGTGCACGTGCCACCAGCTTTTAATTTACGGTTCTGCCACCCACCGCCTTCTACTTAAAATGCCCATAATCCCCACTTCACACATCACAAATCAATTAACGATGATCTAAATCCGAAAAGCTCCCATACAACACGCGACGCGATTTGATCCAATTCAGGAATAATTTCTTATTCTCAGCCTTGCGATATCAATTCAGGCTTTGCCATCTCTCACCATCTGAATTGTTATTCGACAGATAGAATGTCACTCTCCGATAAAGCGCTGACAAGCGCTCTCTCCAAGACTGTACGCGATGTCTTCCACAGTGACGAGAAAGATAAATTAAGTGTACGATTCATTAGAACAAAAGTTGAGCAGGAACACGAATTGAGTGACGGTTTTCTAAATGAAGGAAAATGGAAGGAGAAGAGTAAAGGGATTATTAAAGGAGAAGTCGTAAGTCCATTCTGGATTGAAGCTGTTGGATTTGACGATCGATTCTAATGCTCAATTGCAGGACAAATTGATGCAAGAGGATGGAGAGGAAGAGGAGGAAGAACCTGTAAAGCCAAAGAATATCAAGAAAACACCTGTGAAGAAGGCTACACCTGTTGCGAAGGGAACGAAACGAGCTTCGGCCGAAAAGAAGGCACCTCCACCAAAGAGACAAAAGAAAGAGGAGACCCCCGTTTCTGATTCCGAACTTTCTGAGCTTGAAGAAACAGAAATATCAGAAGTTGACTCCGAAATAAGCGAAAACGTACCAAAAGCCAAACCAAAGAAGCAAGTCAAGAAGGCTGTTAAAGCCAATTCGGACAATGACGCCAGCGACAATGAAGATGAGGTAGCGCCCAAGAAAGCTAAGAAACCATTGAAGAAAGAAGCCGTCTCCTCCGATTCTGAATTGTCAGATATCCCATCAATCACTCCATCCGAGGCAAAAGCTCCTCTTAAAACCATGTCCCCAAAGATTCAGGATTCCTCCTTGTCGCCTCCTCCAAAAACAGAAGAAGAAGCCTCTGAACCCTCCAACAACAAAGATGCGGGCCACGAATCTGACTCTTCAGCTATGTCAGTCGTTCTTGATGGTCCTTTAACTACCAAAACTCGTGCCAAGAAATCTAAATCCGCATCGTCCAAGCCATCTAAAGTAACCAAAACCGCCAAACCTAAAGCTGCAAAGGCAAAAACTACAGCAGAACTCTCGCCTAACGAGCAGCTCATTAAAACTCTTCAGTCACAACTTGTTAAATGTGGAATTCGCAAAATCTGGGCTTTCGAGTTGAAGAAATGCGAGACAGAGAATGAAAAAATTAAACATTTGAAGAATATGTTAACGGAAGTGGGTATGACTGGACGTTTTAGCGAGGGGAGGGCGAAAGAAATCAAGGAGATGAGAGAATTACAGGCTGATTTGGAAGCGGTGAAAGAGGGCGAGAAAGCATGGGGATTGGGCAGAGGTTCAAGGAGAAGTGGGGGTGGTGCCAAGGAGGACAAGAAAAATGTCGAGAGTAGTGAGGATGATAGCAAAAGCAAAAGCGGTAGTACTCAAGAAGAGGATGAAGAAAGTGATGATGAAGAAGATATGGAGCTTTCTGCTAGGGCTAGAAGAAAGAATGATTTAGCATTCCTGGGTGATGAGGAAAGTAGTGATGATGATTGAGCGACAGCTAGTCTACCTTTCCGTCATGAGATCTGTATAAAGAATTTTGAATTTGGTTATGATCATGGGAATGGGAGTTCTGGAGCATGGTCAGGGTTATGATATCTTAGGCATTTGGCGTAGAGGTTTACGTCTGGATTTGCCATATGGTCGAGGTTGTAGGGTACAGAATATATAATGTCTGGACAGATCCTCAGAAATAATACAAATATTCAACTACTTACCCTCAAGTTGAGGTGTATTCATTTATGCAACATGGGCGTGGGAACGTGGAGTGTAGGGATGAAATGTCACAACTGCGTGTGGTACATTGCGAGATGTGTAACATCATTGATTTTAACTTTTAGGCTTGAGTCCCATTATCCTACATTCATATAATATGTACACTTCATTCATCTCGGTATAGTGACTCTATTATCAATCTTTACCACCACCTCCTTCCTGCCCACCTGACATCATCCCTACCAATTAATTTCCTTAACAAATATCTCCTCGCCTTCCACGCCATTTTCCCTTCTTTTCCCTCCTTTTCCCTCCTTTTCCCTCCTTTACAGATTAATGATATGAATAATTGTGGAATATTCATTAAGTGATGAATGTTATTCAGAAATCTGTCATGAAATTACTCGTGTTCGTTATGTGAGTAACAGTATAGTACGGTAAATCATGCCAAGTGAACAAGAGAATAATGTGCATGGGGAAAGCATATTGTAGAGTTATAATATCATCGATTTTACTTAATGCTCAATATTATTCATGGTCCCCTCATTTTGCCCATTATTTACTGCCGGGGTAGCTACTCATCATTTCTCAATAATCTCTCGCATCCCCTGGTCTCTTCGTCTACCGCCATCCATCCCCCGTCAAAATTCTCCCGTCCTCTCTCTCATAACACAGAAATTAGGGTGCCTTATTGGGCCGAGTTCCCCCTTCCCCTAT